TATTAAAAAAGCCAGCTGCTCTTTACATATTTATATGAAGCATTGAACTTGGATTGATATTCAGCAAATGAAGAGCGCTGAGGGACAATGACTGTGGCTGTAGCTCTCAAGTTTGCATTTTATTTGGTTAATAACCTCAAGCTTGAAACTTCTTTATTTTTTACATTCCATAGCATGACATTCTTCATCTCAAATGAGAAAGCACTGAGAATAAAAATACAGCTGCTTTTTTCAAAGTCGGCACACAATCAACCCATTCTTGTGTTAAATCTCATAGACTTTCAAATATACATCAGTGAATATATACATATATATATATATATATATATATATATATATATATATATATATATATATATATATATATATATAGTTTCTTGTAAATATATAATTTCTAAATATATGTAAAATTTCTAAATAGTATTATATCTCATATTGCTATACTCCATCAAACCAGTTTTCACACATTCCCACTAAAAAGACCAAAAAAAAGGCAATCCAAAGAAAAATATGCAGCATAATATTGCTTTTTGCATCACCTTTAGTACTATATAATGGATAGAGGCATAGGAAATGTAAGATGGCATTAACACTGTGGTTGCTGCACTTCTTAAAATAAGACTATTGTTTCAGCCATGAAAAGTCTCCGAAAACTGTACGAAGCTGAAGTTGGCCTCTTATTCTAATTCAAAATGGTGCAGCAGGTACATTCTGGTGCCTCTAATAAGAAGCTGGGCGAATATGAAGCTAACTTCAGCCTTTTAAAACTGAAATGATAATGTCACAAACCAGGCAGAGGAAGTTCATTTTGGAGGGTGTGCAGCCCAGTCACTCCACCAGGAGGCGCTGTTCTTGTTGTGAAATGTTCATGGCTGATATGTGGTAACTGTGAACGTTGCTGATGGCAGTATGTTAAGACATCTTTTTTATTTTCGCATATGCTAATGAGAGCGGATGCCTGTGGCAGGCTGTATTAATGAGAGGCGATATGGAACCTGAGGCTCATGAATATTTAATAGTGCTTTGACCCCTGTGGTCTGACGTATCAGCTGTCCGCTTCTTTCCTCGCAGCATGGCTATCAAATATGCATCGGGCAGTGAAGGGACAGGGACCTCCAGGGTCGTATTTATTATGCACACACACACACAACCACTTTAAACCCTGAGGGTCTGTACGTGGGGGTCCACATTTCAGTTTGTCATTGAATTTTACTGTACATACCAGCAGTATATACTGGTACATATATTGGTGTATATATTCATAATATAACACTGTTAATTAACAATGTGTTTTTGACAAAGAGTAAAGAGTAATATACTTTAGCTTAACCTCTTAATATTAATTAATGAATTATAGATATCGCTGTTATTGGAAGAAAACCTCGTATGTCCATTTTTGTCGTTTTTCAGCTTTTGAGATAATTTGAAAATGCCTGTGGCCCTTTTGTGTGCAAATTTCATGATGAATGGACCAAAAGAAATGACCCAAAATGACTTCGAAAAATTCTGGTTCCATTGAGTTACATTAAAAGTAAAGTAGTTTTTTTCCTTCTCCTGTAAAGATGATCATTTGAAGAGGTTTTGTTCTGACAACAGTGATGTTGTTATATATATATATATATATATATATATATATATATATATATATATATATACCTCTGTATAATTCTATTTTTCTATAATGTGGTATTTTGTAATATTTCTCAGTTAGGGCTTTATAGATCCCAATAAATAAGTATAATACATAAAACAGAAAAAAAGCATAAAGAGAGAATAGAGAAGGACAGAATGACTGAGTGAAAGAAAGAGCAGGTGCTGTGGGGGTGGGGAGGAAAAACTGACTGATGGAGGGATGAAGAACACTACCTGCCCTGGATTACCCAATCAGATTAAGAGATTAGTTAGTTAGAGGAAGAGCGCACACACTGGTGCTGCTGGAGGATATGACACACAAGGGCAGTGTGTGTGTGTGTGTGGTGTGTGTGTGTTCACACTCAACCGTATATCATTCATCTTGTTGAACTGACGAGCCTCTTTGAAGGAATAGTCCAGCATTTTTAACCTAATCTCTCTCTGCTGCATCTGAAGCGTACAGTCGATTACCACAAACAACATTTCTGACATGTTTCTGTCTCTGAAATACAAACGGAACCCCTTCTTCAAATACAGCCATCACAATCTAACAATACAGCTTTTGGGATGAGACAAACGTGATGGAATGTCTTTATGTCTTACTGAATGTGTTCCAATGAAGTTTTATCCAAACTTCATAAACCTTTACTGACGGAATGCAGCAGCTGCCCACTGCCTCATATAATGAGTGCATTTTTGAGTTAATGGGTTTTCTGTTCTAAGTACAGTGTCTGTGTAATTAGACATACAGCAGACAGAGGTTAGGTTAAAAATGCTGAGGTATCCCTTTAACAACCCAAGTTACAGATGGTACAGCAGTGTGGATGGAGGGAATGAAGAGAAGCAGGAATGAAGTGAGTGTAACTGGTTTGTTTTTATTCTCTCATGCAGGTTGCAGAGCGAACTGCGCTACAGAGTTGCGGAATGATTTCACTGAAGGATGAAACTTTTCCTTTGCACTTTTCTAAGGTTCTCTAACTCTACCACGACCTCAGACTGAATTTTTAACAACCTCCAAATGAGCCGAGAGCTAACGCTCTCACAATAACATAAGACATGATACAAGAAAAGAAGGATAAAAGATAGAGAAAGATGCACTCGCACACACACACACACACACACACACACACACACACACACACACATACACACACACATACACACACACACACATACACACACACACACATACATCTATCTTCCTCTCCACTCCACTAAATGGAACCAGACTGAGTGCAAATCAATACAAAATATCCCTTCCACATGTGAAATACACATTATTATACATGCAAAAACAAAACAAACAGAAGAAATGAACTATTTGTACATATAAATCATCATAAATAGCCACATCTCATAGAAATGAGGAGTGTTGGAGAATGTAGGATGTGCGTATGATGTCAGCATTACGCACACGACGACGGCAAAAAGAAAACTGCTGAAATGACCAGTGCATGAACTCCCTTACAAATCCAAACAAATAGTAAAATGAGGGTAGATGTTATGCTGCATCCATGACAAATGGGAGCTTGGAATTTTCCAACTCATGGCTTCCTATGTCCCACTTCAGAGCTTCTTAGCTACTTCAGCTTTAAAGTCAACATTGCTGCATGATAAGATGGTTAAAATGTAAATGCCCTGTTCTTGAGAAACTTACTGAGTCAGAGTTGTTCACAGTGGTGGTGACAGGAACCAGACGTCAGAAGACCTCTAAAAGCTCCTTCACAGGAAGATATTACACAAAATGATAACACAACCCGTTGCCTGTGACACTGATAGTTTTACGATAGGTTTAGAGAAGGATTTGGCCTAAAATGTATTTTTTTTAAATCCATTCATGGTGAAGAGGCACAAACAGGGCATTGTGTGGCAAAATAGTTCCTAAAGAAAATGTATTTTCTCAGTTTTCCACTATTTTATTATTATTTATATTACATATAAAAACTCAGAAGCTATGTGTAGATTCACTGGTCTTATTGGATAGTAATAATGGCTATATTTGCCTTGTAGTCATGACCTCTGGTTATCACCTCCACTTTAAAAAAAATCTGAGTTGGTAAGTTTCTCTACAATGAACCATTTCACATCAAACCACTCCGAATGACTTTGTTTACATCCCAAAAAGTTAACTGGGGAGAATTAAAAATAAAATCTGTGGAAATCTCCCTTAAAATGCTCTTAAAGATCTGTTAATTCTTCATTTATTTTAAAAGTGGCTGGTATTTCACTGCTAATATAGCACCGAATCTGACATGAAAGCACAAAGTTTGATCTTATACACTTTATAATTATCTAAGTTGCCCCCCGTATTGATCGACATCAAACACAAACAGAACATCATATACAAAAAAAAGCTTACTTGTTCATACATGACGTCATGGCATTGCAACACGAAAAAGTCGGTGTTCTTAAGAAACTCCGACTTTCTGAGTGGGAATTACGAGTTCCGTACAAGTGAATTCTTCCTGCTTAGAAGGTGGAAACTTCCCAGAACCCACTTGGTCATGAACGCAGCATTACAGACACACATACATCTCTCCCCTCAATGCCCCCTGAGGGAAAAACACATGCAGAGTTGTGGTCGTCTCCATCACTGGCAGCAGAGATAACACTCGCCAGAAAAACATGGAAACGCACTTATTATACAATTTAACAACACTTGCTTTGTATTGTACAGTATTATTGTTATTAGTGTTATCACACTCTGTCTCTGAGCCATGACATGAAAATCGCACCCCTTTAGATCATAAATATTTCTCATTGATAATCATGCAGTATAAATAGATTTCTCACCTTTTGATTTTTGAGAAAATAGAGTAAGTTCTGAAATGCTCAGTGTACACACACACACACACACACACACACACACACACACAGATGTGCGTTCACACTAAGGCTGCACAGTCAAAAACGTTGTTATGACACAAGCCTTTGCAAGACTGATATAACAGAGGGCTGCAATATGCAAACGAGCTCTTGAACTAATCAGTGTTTTTACTGTGTGCTGATCTAACAAAAATCCATTTGTGTCACAAACTACCAATCTGAACAATAAAATCAATGAATATAAGTTGGATTTTGACTTTACTCTGATTAAACAAATCAATAATCACTTGAGGAAAAAAATACAGTACATCCAAAAAAAGAAAGCTCTGATTCATGCTGAAATTGATAAAATGATTTTACTGTTGCTAACGGGGACATGCACGCACCATAACTCCTCTGGTGGCGGAGGTAAACCAGAGTATTTCTTTTTCTGAACCTGGTACAGGGCATGGGGGGTTATTATTAATTCACTATTGTATTTTGAAAATATTGCAAGGCATATCACAATCATAACATGTAGCTATACATATTTTTTTCCATATGGTGCAGCTCTAAGACACAGACACAGCGCAATCAGCAGCGTCTTAGCTTTTCTGATTCACTCACTAACGCCTTCACTGGAGGTGAGAATGTACAGAAGTCACTGTAAACACAGCTGAGTGAGTGAGCTGAGTGCTGTGTCTGGCATGTGTCTCTAAGAGCACCCTCTGCATGATAGGATGGAGTAAGGAGGACATATGCGTGTGTGTATAAAGCATATGTGTGTGTGTGTGTGTGTGTGTGTGTGTACACAGAGGTAACGCACTTCGGTCTGGTTAGTTTCTAGAGTTGATCTTCAGCTTGAAGGAAATGCGGCCGGCGAACTTGTCCCGCTCGTTGTTGGTGGGGATGTTGTTGGCATTGATTTTACACTCCACGTTGACCTCAGTGTTTAGGGTGATGTTGAGGAACTTGATTGCCACAAGCGGCTGCGAGTAATTCACCTGCAGTGGACAGAAACAAAACTGGATTTTCGACAACACGTCGAGAAGCGTTTTTTACAGGATGTATAGTGGCCCAAAAGTAATTGGACACTTTAGCTTTAACTGAACTTCATTCAAGGCCTTTAGGTGACTTTATAAGAAGTTGATGAAAAACGTTTAGCACCACAACAAACTGATGGTAGACTGTGTGGAGAAAGCCTGGGGGAAAGTTCCAAACAGACTGCACTAAGGCTACTGTAAAGCACCGAGGTGGAAACATCAATGTCTGATGCTGTTTTTCTTACAATGGTGTCTTGTGTTCACTGAATAATGAACTCAAAAGTGGGCAAAGGAACTTTGAAGTGTGCAAAACAACTGCTCAAATGATATCAATCTGAAACACCCCAGCTACCTTTTAAATATTTTGCCACAAAGAAAACTACAGTCTTATAATGGTCTGTTTAACCTGGTGGCTATTTTGATGGAGGTATGGAAATTGTTACAATCACATACTTTTTTCCCAATAACTCTGCTATCAGACTTGGACACTCTATGAAATGTTGTGTTGTGTTGCGCTGCTAGTGAGCAATGAGCAGTGAAAGGCGAGGGGTGAGAACCTCCTGCTGTGAAAAAAAATCACACCTCTTCACAAAGATGACCATGCTGAGATGAAATGGACAGCACAAGTAGACAGAACACTTTCATTAATGTGTACTTGCTTTCCACTACATAAACGTATTCCATCTATGTTACTGAAGAGAGGAAATGAACTGAGTGACCTCTAAAAAGGTGGACAGTGCATTTTATGGCTGCTGTGAAAAGGGGTTTGACATTCTGCTTCCTAACATACATTTTTAGGCACAAATATTCCAGTACTTCCTAGGGTGATAGTATATCATGGAAAAGCACATTGTTGTTGCTTTTTTGTAATAAAAAAGCATGGTTGTGATGTCACAACCATGAACATATTTACACACAAAACCTATTTAAGCTACAGTGGAAAGCAAATCAAAAACTCCGCTCTTTACACTTGACTGCTTTTCGAACAAGTCACAACACAGGGCAGGCAACAAACCACATATTAATAAGTAAATTTTAAGAGACCATAAATCAGTTATGGTTATTGTGACAATAACATTGCACCAAAACAAACGGTAAAGAATGTGCATGTATCTTTTCATAAAGAGAGTGTCTGTATTTACCTGGGCCTTCTTGCCGTAGTATGGGTAGTACATGAGGTTGAAGGTGCCGTTGCGGGGAAAGTACACCACCTCCCCCATCTTATCTGTGTCATCAGCCTACAGGGACAGAGAGAGAGAGAGAGGGAGAGAGAGAGAGAAATGGACTTAGTTGGCACTTAACATCCTGGTCTTATAATTCTGCCCAGACAAATGTGTGTCTGTACCATAATTATAGAAACAGTACGTGTAGGATATTACATGTACACTAAAGCTTGAAAGATGAACTTCTGTCTCATTTTATAAATAGTATAAATGTGTAATCATTCTTTGAAATTACCTCTCCATGCTCCGCCCACAAATGCATTCTTTCATAGCAACAGTGGCCAGCCTTAAAAATCTTTACAGAACGTTGGCTAAAAAACCCAATTCAACTAAAAGAGAAACTTGGTTTTGGTAAAAACACTTACACACTTTAAAAAGATGGTTCTTCAAGGGTTTTTAATAAAGGCAATGGAATCATTTGAATCTTAAAAGGCTCTTTATTAACACATAGTCCAGCCCTTTATTAACACAGTCCAGCTACAACCACATAGTTATGTTAAGTACTTTATTGGTCCCACAAGGGTAATTTGTCATTTTGCTGCCCAACCATGCCCAATCGGGGAGCAGTACAGAATCGCCAGCAGAGCAGCACCGCCTGGGGCAGTGGGGAGTTAAGTGCCTTGCCCAAGGGCACAACCAAGCATGCCTAGTCAGTCATGGGATTTGAACCCGCAACCCTCCGATTGATGGCTCACTTCTCCTACCATAGTACAGCTCTTTCTTAACAGGTACAATCACATAGTATGGCTCTTTATTAACATAGTCCACCTAGAACCACATAGTCCAGCTCTTTATTAACATAGTCCAGCTACAACCACATAATCCAGCTCTTTATTAACATAGTCCAGCTACAACCACATAGTATGGCTCTTTAATAACATAGTCCACCTAGAACCACATAGTCCAGCTCTTTATTAACATGGTCCACCTAGAACCACATAGTCCAGCTCTTTAATAACATAATCCAGCTACAACCACATAATCCAGCTCTTTATTAACATAGTCCACCTAGAACCACATAGTCCAGCTCTTTAATAACATAGTCCAGCTACAACCACATAATCCAGCTCTTTATTAACATAGTCCACCTAGAACCACATAGTCCAGCTCTTTAATAACATAGTCCAGCTACAACCACATAATCCAGCTCTTTATTAACATAGTCCAGCTACAACCACATAATCCAGCTCTTTAATAATATAGTCCAGCTACAACCACATAATCCATCTTAATGTCATAGAATTATAAATTGGAAATGCAATGTTATGTAATTATTTGAAACAAAGCACAACATTTGCTATGAAAGAATGCATTGGTGGCAGAGCTTGGACAGGTCAGTTGAGTTCTATGTTTAGCAGAGAGAAGAGACAGGGCTGCTAATGAGAACCTCTACAGCTCTAAGCAAAAAAAATGTCTGCTGTGTCTCCACCGGCCACATTCAGCAGGTCTGAGCTAAGTTTGAGCTAGATGGATGGTTTTTCTCAGATAGATTATAATACTAGTTTCCAGACTTACGGAAACGTTTAAATAGATAGGATCGACATTAAGTCTTCTTTGATTGATGACAAAGCAGTCTTAAAAGATGGTTCTACAAAGGTTCTTTTGTAAAGGGAATGATTCTGTTTAGAACCAGGAGTTCTATATAGAACCATATGCATACTTAAATGGTTCTTTGCATGGTGGAAAGGTTCTTCAGATTGAGAGAGAATGCGTTGTGTATGGTGCTGTGTAGAAACTTTTTGAAAATGGTTCTATATAGCACCAAAAAGGGTTCTGCTATTGTTTCAAGCTTGACATTGTAACAACAGAAGAACCCTTTTTGGTGCTATATAGAATCATATACAACACGTTCTCCATCACTCTTCTATATAGGACCATTCCCTTTACTAAAGAACCTTTGTAGAACCATCTTTTTTGAGAATGTAGTAGTTTTGAGAATATAATCCAACCAAAAATGCTCACTTTGTTAACAAATGTGAAAAAATACATACAAAGTTACATATTTAATAGTATTATTTACAGAGGGCTGTGTTGAAATCACTGTAATTGATAAAAATTGAAATGGCTTCTAAAACATAAGTCAGTGGTAAAATCTTGCTGACTAACAGTAAAAAGTGTAATAAGAACAAGCTAGAGTTTTTTAACTTCCTTTTAAAAATGAAATTATAGCTTTTAACTGTTTAAAAACACTGCTAACACTTTACTGCAGTCTCAAATGATCACATGCATGTCATGTGACTCATCACCAATCAGCCAATCAGCTTTATCAGCTTCAGGAGCCAGAAGTTAAAGCTAGGCAAGTCTAGCTGAAGAAGAAGCCGGTGGAGAGGAGGCTATTGACAACACAAGTTTATCCAATTTTTTTTGAAAAACAATTGCCTTAACTCATTTGAATGGACTTAAGATGTTTGTGTTGTGCTATAAAGGAGTAAAATGTGTCCAGGCAATCATTTCCCATAAACTGTGTAAACGTAGCACGTTTTGAAATAATGTTCTACATTTTCTTTTCTTTTACAGTGCTACTTCAGTCGGTGACTATCTGTCGTTCTTACCCATTCGTCTTTGCCGATTTTGTATTTCTGGGAGAGGAACACAAGAACAGGAAATAGAAACAACGGAACAGATGGAAAAATGGAATTAAATAGGAAGTGGAGGACAGGAGGACAAAATGGACAGAGAAAAGCAAGGGATGGATGAATAAGAAGGTGAAAAAATCAATAACAGACAGAGTAGAAAGGAGAGATAAGGGAAATGGAGTGATACTGAGAGCTTAATGTAAATTCAGTTTGTAATTTGACAGAACCTATAAGTCACCTGAAACAGAGGGGCATCACAAATCCAATCAGAAGTGACTGTCATGATTAAAATAGATGCAGCGGCCACTTAGCGCCTATAATAAGACTGAAAGGGGGCTCGCTAGTTTGACATGCATTTATAAGAGGTTCCTTCTCAAAGCACAAAACACTGGGACGATTATTATACTGAACTACCTACTCCAATTAACTAATGATGATGGCAAATACAGACTTGATGGTTATGTGTTGCTGTTTAACACCTTTTTATATTTGAGTTAATATGACTGCTGTTGTTGCAGCTCAGATGCCCATCGAACAAATAGAAGCCTGTTTACTGCCAGGTGAATAAAATGCCAGCTGTTTTTTTCCCATTTCTGGCAGCAATGTCAGTCAAATTTGGTCTTATGTTGGACTTCTCATCATTTGGACTTACATTTATACTTATTTTCTCAAAATAATGACCTGTTCTCTCAAAATAAGTACACTTTCTTTTAGAATAATGGGCTCATCATTTCGACTGCATGCTCCCGGTGCCTGTTAGCTTCTATAAAATGAGCTGTAGAAATAACCCTAAATTATATTAATGTTGTGCAAATTGACAAGCCAGTAAAAAAGCTGTCATATTCTGTGGAAAAGAGTTTCTTAAGCATGAGAGAACTCAAGAAAGTGTTTACTTCTGGATACATTCAAGAAGATATGTACCGTCCTACCCCAAGTATTCCAATCTGAACATTAAAATGTAAAAACTACAGAAAAAAAGTTTAATTTTATTCAGTGATGTTGACTGTTGGCTGTGAATTCCCAAGCTAACGGAAATTCTAGTGCCACGGTCCATTTATTTAAGATGGCAAGACGAATACTTAGGATAGACCACAGTGGTTGGTAGAGTGTAGTGGGTAACACCTCTACCTTCTGTGCTATAGACTGGGGATCAATCCCCTGCATGGGCAAGCACTGTACACTATACCAATAAGAGTCCTTGGGCAAGACTCCTAACACGACCTTCACTACCTGTGTGAAAATGATCAAACTGTAAGTGGCTCTGGATAAGAATGTCTGCTAAATACCGTAAATGGAACAATGGTGAAACCCTCTTTTTTTTCTACTTTCTCTGTCACTTATACTGAGATTTCTTATCCCATGTGAATTGTATATAAACATTACAGACATCCTGTTGTAAATGGGCATTACTCTACCCCCATACTCCCCACACAAAATGAATACTTAAAGGCCCGCTATTTATCTCTTAGAATTAAACAGGCTGTTTTTGATACTGTGCCTTTAAGGCTGATATATGTAAATGAGCTCTGTTCTGATTGACTGCGCTGTATTGTGCCTCAAAAAGCAGTCTGGGCTGAAACACTTCTTATAACTTCAGTGTAAAAAGGGCGGGGCTGAACTGATGCAGACTAAATAGGTAAACTAATGTATATATGTACATGCTTTGTTTTTTATGACATCACAAAAACAAGGAATTCAAGACAGACTGTTTTTGCAGCTTAATTTCCATAGAAAGACTGAACGGACTGGGGAGGGAATGAGTGAAAATATCAAGAAGTATTTTGACTCATTTTGTTTCTGTTAAGTCAAAATATTGAGAAGTCACAACTTTTAACATATTTAGTTAAAATATGGACAAACAGCTGCCAGAAACAGAGAGGGAAAAATCAAGAACAGGCTTTTTTTCTCCTACCCAGTGGAAATGGGCTTCCGTTGAAAAAAAGACGTGAGCAAAACGGGGGTTTATATTGTATCATTAAATCAGACACCCCCACCCAAACAAACAGTCTATGGACTGTTGGTAGTTAGTGCCTCTTTTAGTAAATCTGCTCCACAGTAGGAGGATTTTATTCTAAATTATCAATACATGAATCCATGATTATCAGTGAAAACTGTTCAGCGAAAGGAAAATATTGGTAAACATGTCAAACTGGCTTTGTTCAGCTCATTCAAATGGTTTGCAAAAACCTTGTCTTGAGGTTAAGTCCTAACTAAATGTATCAGATACATAAATTCTGGCCACTTTATTAAATGTCTAGAGTTTATAGGTCCACTATATGTACAGTTACAATTTACAATTACCCAGCTGTCCTCTTCCTCATTTATCATTGGTCAGTTTTACCGCTGCTGTGCAGATGTTATTTGAGTGTTGGGTCATTCTCGGCACAGCATGGTAGAGTGTGTGGTGCTGCTACAGTTGTGGGGGTTTTTACACATCAGTGTCACAGTGTCACTGATAGGTTGAGAGTGGTCCGCCACCCAAAAATATCCAGCCAAAAGCAGCTCTCTAGTCAGACACTGACCAACTAAGAAGGGCCAGATGATGGCTAATACAAACTGTGCATCAACAGACGAGCTACAGTCTCCAATTGCAAACCAGCCAGTTACAATGTACTACACAACTGTAATACTTTAGGATGTCTTGAATAAGTCAAGGCAGTCATACACCATTCTGACTGCATTAGTGAAGAGTTTAAGCTCAGACTAGGAGAATTTAACAGGAACCCAACACCTGTGGACCATCTAATGGCCAGGGTGTTTCATTTCCAGCCATGAAACAGTATACCCTATCAAAATCTACTCACACAATGGAGCGAGCATGTGGAGTCACGCTTTCCTGAGGAGATCCATCAGTGTCTCCCTACAAGGTGTGTTGTCAGCTGGCATTTATGTACAGTACTACACAGGTCAGAGACCTCCATTTATTTATTTCATTTCCTGAAAAAAATGTGTCTTTGAATTGATTTGATACTGTGTACATTGGTTCCACATGAATGAAATATATTACATTAACAATGCAATTCATTTTACTAACTTTTGGCAAGAACTGTGTTGATGTTGTGTGTTTTATCCATGTGGAACTAATGTACACATTTGAATCACGTAATTTAAAGCACTTTTTTTCAGTGCAGACAAATTAGCCATTACGTAAATGATAATCATTTTTACTGTCAGAAAAAAAGAAAACATACATATAACAGAAAATTACAGTCTCTAAACTTCATATTTGTTTTTTCAATATTTAGTGTTTCCACTCTTTTACAGCTTCCATTCTTTTTGGGAAATTTCCTTTCAGTTTTTCCAAAAAATCTAAAAGGATATTTTTCCACACCTCCAAAGTTCAGTCTTAAAAGTTGCTTGCCCTTTCTGCTTCTTACAATCCAAGTAATCCCAGACATACTTAGAGATGTTGACCTAGATATTGAGGAAATTTAATGAAGGCTGGTCTCTGACCTTCGCACAGTACTGTACATACAGAAAGTCTAAATTCTATAACTGACATTCTAAAATGGGTTTCATTCCAAATTTGATTGGCTTGTAAAATACTGAATGTGCACACATTCAAAACAAATCAACTAAATTCTGTATTAATGTGACAAGATATTAAAACCCATCGTGCTGCTCATGAAATAGTTCTTGAATGTTCCATAACCTACAATAAGCTTATTGCTTTGTTCCATATACTGCTGAATGTAACAGTGGCTGGAAAGGGTCACTGAGTGATTGATTGGTCACCGTGGCCATGTGAGGGACACTATCACACGGTATGCTAATCTAACATGAAGCCGGACCGCTGTGTGGAGGGTTTAATGAAACTTTAATAGGAAATAGATCCTGTTCACTGAAAGAAAAAAGAGGGTGAGGTAGAGAGAGAGAGAGAGGTAGAGAGAGGGAGAGATGCATTACCTTGGGGCCACAACTAACGGAGGGCGTCTGGCCGTCCTTCCCTGGCAACATACCGATCACCTGGCCGAGAGAGAGAGAGAGAGAGAGAGAGAGAGAGAGAGAGAGAAAGGGAAGTTGAGTGTCATTAGAAAGCTAAACTTGCTGTGGTGAATAATGGATGGCGGGCGGCCGGTCTGCTGTCCCCCAGCGGTGTCCATTACCCAGAACACTCTTTTGCTTGCTGTTGGAATTCTCCTACATACAGTATTACATTTGACTGAAGAGTTTAGAGGCCCGAGAGCCACAATTATACCAGAAAGGAGTGGACTGCAGTGGAAATACTGAGTCTAAGACTTCATGTAATGAATCTTTTCTGTGTTTTTAAAACATTTATAAGATTCTAAAATGCGATGCAAAGCCGCTGTAAAATACTCCATATATGCACATATGACTGCACACATACACTGAAATCTGTATTAAGATCATCACACGCCCATCACTATTTATTCAGACATCAACGCATTAATCGGGTGTCGGACTGATGATTTTGCACACTGAATGCAATTTTTTTCAGACGGTGGAAATGCAACTTCATCTTTCCGGCCTCTGTTTGATTTTTCACTCAACCAATCACTGTTATCTCTATTGGCATGGCAACAACTAAGCTGACAGATTGTGTCCCAGCAGCTACAACTTTTTTGCCAAGCCTCAAAATGATGGTTCTCTGTGTAATCATGCTCTTAGCATCTCTAAAGCAGCTCAAACTGGGTTGAGGACATCCGTGCCATAGAGTCGAATGCAAAAAAAAACAAAAAAAACAAAAAAACATAACATATTTAAAATGTAAAATGTGCTGTAACATTTGCACAGGCTACATTTTATGACTGCTTGTTCTCTATACAACAAACTGTGTCAAAATAATAAAAAAAGATGTTTTAAGCATCTTAATTTGATGTTTAAAAATCACATCAAATTGTGACGTTCCTGGAATAATCTTTGTCCATTATGTTGCTTGGCAACCATAGTCCACTGGAACAGCATAACTCTAATAACACTCTATTATTAATGTGCCATCATTTATTGAACATTGATGCATTTCATCATATTGTATTTTATTTTTAGCAATGATCTGCTAGAGGTCGAGGGTTACAGTGATTTTATCTTGGTTTACTCTACTTTGTGCCATACACTCTTAAAAAGGTGGTTCTTTAAGGGTTCTTCAGTAAAAAAATGGTTCTGTATAGAACCATGAACACTCAAAGAACCCTTTGCATGATTAAAGGGTTCTTGCATTGTGAAATTGTTCTTCAGATTGATGGGGAATGTGCTGTAGATGGTGCTATGTAGAACCTTTTTGAAAATGGTTCAATATAGCACCAAAAAGGGTTCTTCTATTGTTATGATGTCAATCTTGTTACAATAGAACAACCTTTTTTGGATCTTTATAGAACCATTTTTTCAAAAAGGTTCTATATAGCACCATCTACAGCACATTCTCCATCAATCTGAAGAACTCTTTCACGATGCAAGAACCCTTTAATCATGCAAAGGGTTCTTTGAGTGTTCATGGTTCTATACAGAACCATTTTCTTTACTAAAGAACCCTCAAAGAACCATGTTTTAAAATGTGTACAACATTGTAATTCATTGTAATGCAGTTTTTATCTTACTCGATTGAGTTTGATGATGATGCAAGGTTTGCCATCGCTGTAGCCGTAGTAGCGATCAGAGAGGCCGGAGCAGTCCTCCAGGATGGAGCGTTTGAACTGGCATGAGCGTTTGGGGTTGTTCCTCAAATTGGAGCTGTCCGCCTGTATGAAGTACTGGTCAGGTGTGCACTCTTGGTTCTTCTGCTCCTGCACTGAGTCGTTGTAGGCTGAGGGAGGACAGGACAGGAGGGGGTAAAGGCCAGCCAGCGTGGCAAGAATGCTTTGATAGTTTCCAGCCAGATAACTGGTCAAAAAGCTGAATCTAAAAATGCTAATTAAATCTAAAACAATCAAAATACTGGACCATAGCATCTATTATCTGCAGTTTTAATATGTAACCTGATGAAACCTGAAGACACGCCAGCAAAACATTCAGAGACTTTCTGCTGCCAAAGGAGTTAAGACAAGTATGTAACCAGCACTTATTATGGATGCACCAACATTTAAATATAAAATGTAAAAAATTGAAAAGGTTAAACTAGTTAAAAAAAGCATTTTATTGTTTTTCTGCTGAAAGAGAAAAAAAGTCTGAAAGTTTTGATCAAAAAACTCCACAAACATTAAATATGCCTACAATAAAGTCAATAGAGTCAAAATCTATTACTTTACAAATCATTTTAATGGTAGTGAAAATAAGAAATGCTGATTAAAAATGCAGTTTGTCCCCTTCGCCTTTTATGAAACTGAAGTTAGCTTCTTCCTGAATTTTTTTGGTTTCATCTTTAGGGTGTAGCAGTTACATTTTGGCAAAATTCAAGTAAGAAACTTGTTAGTGCGAAGCTAACTTCAGCCTTTTTCATTCTTCACAGACGTGTTCAAATAGTTTGAGCTGCAGCAGATCAACACTGAAAATGTCGGCAACAGTTTTCTGCCCAATTCAACCAAAAAACTTGCTCTGTCTGGTAACACTGGGGCTGCAGAGGCATTTCTGTTGAATAAGTGAAGTTAATGGCTTTCACCTTAGAAAGCAAGGGGGATTAGCACATGAAAGGCTTCATTAGGTTAATATGCACATGTTGCAATAGTAGAGATGTACAATAATATTGTATCATATCAGTATCAGCGCATTTAACATTGGTCAGACATTTCAAACCAATGTTTCATGATGCACTGAATGATACATGAATATAAACAGATATGTGAAGATATATACATGAAAAATTCCCACACCAGTGCCTCTGTGCCACCATATTAACACGAACTCATCTTCTCAGTTCCCTGATATTACTTCTATTTTCTCCCTGTTGAGTCCGAGCTGGTTTCTTTAACCAAGAACTTGAGTGATTTAGGAAAACAGACAGACACACTTACGGGAGAGGAAGCGGTTGAGGGCCTGCACATACATGTCCCAGCTCTCTGTGTTCTCTTTAGTGTATGTAATCTCCAGATCTTCACCTTTAGGCCTGATCATCATCCCTAGAGACGGAGAGAGAGAGACAGAGAGGGAAAAAGAGAGAGAGAGAGAGAGAGAGAGAGAAAGAGAGAGAGAGGCAGAAAGGAAGAAGAAGTCAGATACACTCATCAGCTTTAAAGGAACAGTTCAGTGAAAAATCATATTTACACCATGTTCCTTTTACCCCAGCTGTAGCCCCTCAGCCAAGATGTGTTTAGATTCCAAATTTTGCTTCTTTAGGTTGGAACTGCAACTACAAGCTAACGTTACTAACAAACACTAGAACTCTTTAGTCACTCAAATAGCCTGAAATCGTTGCTGTAAAAATGCATCACAAAACTTTGACCATTCAGTTTTACTGGAGCTGTTTTTTGCCGCCCTGCGTGGGGCTACGCGGCACGATGCAAAACCCCTCCGCTACGGGCGGCCATTTCAGAGCACACCAGGGCTTGTAGTCAGAAAGCAGGACTGATCTTGGATCAGATTCCTACTCCTGAGGTGGTTTGTGAACACAGACCGTTGTCTCAAATGGCTGAAAGATGCACTTAGCTACACTGTGAAGTTTTGTCCATTTGTAAAGCTCGCAGTAAGTCATATCACGTCCTAAAACAAATCGGCAAGCCTGCACAACATTAATGAAGACCTGCATGTGGTTTAAAAGATGTTTTGGTGACGCTGTACAGGACTAGCCAGTAAAAATCCCACTGAACGCGATGTCCATTTAAAATATTCATTCAAAGTACACAGAAAAACAAAAGTCATGTTACATTTTAATGTTTGTGTTTATTTGTATTTATTCTAATGGAATATAGTATTTTTACTGATATAAAAAATAAGTATTTATTATTCTGTAATATTCTGTATATTTTAACTCTGTAATATATATCTCTTTAACACAGACACACACACACACACACACACACACACACACACACATATATATATATACTGTGTGTGTATATATATGTGTGTGTCTGTGTTATTTATTTATTGTCTATATATGGTCAATATTTAATATTCTAATTAATACATTGGCCATATATGCACAATAATAAAGATGTATATACAAAGTTCAATCTTATAGAGTCATATAATATACAATAGTGCATATTTACAGTAATAAATATTTATCATTGTATATTACGTGCACACTATACTACTGACTTGTAATATATACATCTTTAGTAATCTGTATATATGGTCTATATTTAATATTTGATTTTATTTGGAAACTTTAATACGTATTTCTTGTGTATACACCTTTATTATTGTACATATGCATGAGGTATGTGTTATTACCTGGTGTAGCGAGTCTGTCCTGGTAGGTGGGTGTGTTGTCGTCGAGGGTTAGAAGCATGACGTACATGGTGAGAGTGAAGAGTCCAGCCAGGAAGATGTAAAAGGCCAGATAGAACAAAAAGATCAAACCTGCACACAAACACCCACACGTTAATTATCAAATACCAAGCACACACAAGCATGTAAGGGAAGCTGACATGACATTAAGGATGTGAATCTTTGCTTGCACCTACATAAGCTCTTCATAATTACAGCTTCCATTGCTTTCACACCTCCAAAGTTCAGTCTGAGAAGTTGGTTGCATTTTCTGCTTCACATGATTGAAGCAATACCAAACACATTATGTTGAGGCCTGGACTCTGGGGTGGCCAGTCTGTGCATCTTTCCAAATAGAGAGCTTCTTTTGGCTCTTTGCAGCACCTCCTACTTCAGTCTTCACCATCATATCTACACTGGTAGGTGAGTTAAGGCACGAGCTCACAGAATTAAAGCGAAAACGTCTCAGACTGGCAGGGCAGAACAGCAGCGCTTCTAGCTAAGCAGCTAACTGCACAGCCATTTAATGTGCATCAGCATGATGTGATTATTAGCTAACTGCCCTACAGAGCATTCACATGTGGCACTTTGATGAAGAAAACCAAAAATCCTCCATGGTTAGCTTGTGAATGCTACTTGTGCCCCTTGTGCTGTGTTGCAGCAGTCTGAGGAGGATCTCACACGTGTTTGTATAAGTATTACACATATTCGACCAATCAAGTTTGCTTTGTTAATAAATCAAGCTTCATTCAATCAGTAGCATTATAATTTGATTTCTGACCGATGCAAACAATTCAGTTTAATTTTTTCCTTTTACAGTTGATGTGGGATGAATTTTAAATGCATTGATTTAAGTAGATGAAGCGTTACACCACTACATGACACGCTGAAATATGGTGTAAAACATCATACAAAACCAGATCACACTTACAGCACACAGAGTGTTACACCATTTATCATACAGGATCATACCAGAAAAGTATATCTGGGATCTTGCATGTGCACAGGTAGATCTCAAGCATGCATATGCATATAAAATGTTAAAACTGTTTCTCCATTGACCTTTAGGCTTTACATGGTGACACCTTAAAGCAACTTCTTGCATGTTGTGAGTTGCAACATAATTTCCATGCAACTCGACAGTTAAACAAAGCAATTCAAAAACAGTTGAACACAACACGCTTACTCCACTAGTTGGTCAAATCAGCAGTTTGTGTTTTTTGATGCACTGTATCGTTCCTGCTACATAAAGTCATCTGCCTGGTGTAATTTGCACATTTGCATCATTTTATTAATCACGTTTGTAGAGTGCAGATTCTATGCTTTCAGTCCATACCAATTTGTGATTCTACGTGATTTATTATAATATGATATAATTTGATGAAATGTTGCTGTGTGTACAAACTTGATTCAATCAACATGTGTAATCCATTGCATCACTTACGATCTAATTAATCATCAGTTTACATAATTACCTTTCAATTATATGGCAAAAGTGTCAGTGTTAAATACTACACTGATACGATGCACTGGTTGGAAGACCCCACTATGACCACTGGACTGGTCAGATACTGAATGCAGGGTGTAAAGATTCACACTTTCTGTGTGGAAGATCTGGAAGCTGGACCTCTTTGTGTCATCATTTGCATGTATTATGTCTCAGAATACAAATAACACTGATTGGCAGTGTGTGAGTGTGTGTGTGTGTGTGTGTGTGTGTGTGTGTGTCTTTTCTTTTATCTTGTCTTCATGTAAATGAGCAAAACACTTATTGGAGCAGTAATCAGCTTAGCAGCCAACTACAACCCCCACGACCCCTCTCTCTCCCTCTCTCTCTCTCTCTCTCTCTCTCTTATTCAGATATTTACAGAGAATGCATTCATGTTACTTAATCTCACTTGCCCATAACACACACACACACACACACACACACACACACATCCTGTTAATGTGTTTTGATTAATCCCGGATTGAGCGCCTGTTTCTGCCCAAATTAATTACCCCCTGTTAGGGCAATAGAAAGAAATTGGGGGAAGGGAGCAGATTAGACCATAAGGGGGGTTTCAGGGTGTTTGATTATGATGTAATAGAGTTTCCCTTACAAATAAATACGCACGCACACACACACACACCCACACACACACACACACACTACTTTAATTTCTAGTCAAAACCGTCACTAAGTCAGAACAATCATTTTTCAATGTCAGAAAAAAAACAGGACAAAAAAAAACGACCCAGAATCCACAGCAACTAAATATACTATCAGATGTATCAGCATATATCAGCATATCCACTCTTTGCCTTCATTAGAGCTTCCATTCTTTTCAGGAGACTTGATTTCAGTTTTTCAAAGAAATCTGCAGGGATACTTTTCCACACCTCCAAAGTTCAGTCTGGACTTGGTCACATTTTCTGCTTCTCATGTTCCAATAATCCCAAACACATTCAATGATGTTGAGGTCTGAACTCTGGGGTGGTCTGTCCATTGTTCTGAGAACACCAGCAGTTTCGTTGATTGACGTTCGAACGCTCCTCTTTTTTTCGATTTACTTTTCTCAGTAAGGGCTTCTTGACAGCTACACATCCTTTCAGAACCATAGTGTTGAGTTGTTCTCAGAGTGGAAGGATGGACAAAAACAATAACCCAACTCTAACCTTATACTCTGGCTGCTTGTACTTGGTGTTCCTGCAGAAATGCTGTTTTCTGTATAGTAATACTACACATTACTACATGATCCACTATATTACTACATGTGAACAAAGATTAAAGTGCTTGTTTATTGTTATTGTTTCCTATTTATGTCATATTGCCTGGTCTAAGTGTGTGTGTGTGGGTGTGTGTGTGTGTGTGTGTGTGCGTGCTCAGAGGATCAGTGCAGTCTAAAATGCAATACATCAGCAAAATGACATCACCATACACAGTCCAGAGAGAAGCCCATACTGCTGACAGACAAAAAGCACAACACATTTCCAATCTGCACACAGCCACGCCATTGGCCGCTGTTGCCCCTGTGGGCGTGGCCTGATGTATGGATCAGTTTATTAAGAAGCACTACATGAGCAGCGTGTGTTGAATGACTTGATGCTTAATTTAGCAAATGAATTGTCAGGTTGAACATATCGCTTATCTTCAAATGTGATTAATAATTCTGTTTATCCCTTCATATTGTTTATTTAGTTTCTTTTGTGGTTTTAAGTGGTTGTTTTGTTGTCTGTTTGTTTGTTTGTTTGTTTTTGGATAAAAAAAATGGATCAGAATGGGAGCCGTACAGTATAAAACAAATATTGTTTGCACATATCTTTGAATACTACTACCACTAATAATAATAGTATTGTTGCTGATGGAACAAAATCTTAGATCTACAAAATGGTAACTTTACAGGAAAAAAGAAGGAAAATATTCATAACTGTCAATAAAGTTAACATTGGTCTGTTCATCATGGCATCTTCACACATTGTAAAGGACAGCTGATGTTTTCAAATAATGCCCAAAAAAATTAAGAACAACAAATATAGAGGTACAAGGTTTTGTTCTGACAGAGACAACATTCTTGGTATTTGCACCTTTCTCACCCTCAGAGTCTCTTTACAATTGAAGAGAAAAAGGCCAAGCAGAAGAGACGTAAAAGTGTTGAGAGAATCCTTAAAAACACTCCAACATTCCAAACATTTCAATAACTGACAGATATTTTATGATATAACAACTCATATCAGAGCTGTATGTACAGGATGGTGTAGCAAAGGTTTAGGTATCTATCTACAACAATACCTTGCTGTGCAATTCTATTCAGTTTTTACAGACTAAACAAAAAGTTAGCAGGATTATTTCATGAGCTATGGAATACCGCTATGGAAAACAAAACAAAACAGGAGGGATCTGAACACTAGCAATGCCTATTTTTGACTCCGGAATCTAAATATGAACATAACCCAAATATAACCAGAAAATAACCCAAAGAAACTGTGTAGCTAGCTTTGTCTGTATTGTTTCAAAGAACAAACATCAAAAATGACAGTTAGAATTCACTGAGATGTCATTTTGTTTAACACTAGATACTCTGGTTCCATATCGTACACTCAGTCAGCATATATGATTTATTTCATTTCATGTCAAACATGAATTTAAATAACTACAACTTAAACTTCAATTCTACTCTACTATTCAAGCCTTGCTATACATCCATCATGGATGCGACTCCTGGGCCGCAGGGGGTACTGGAGCCTATCCCAGCGCTCATTGGGCAGAAGGCAGGAAACACCCTGGACAGGTCTCCTCTTTCTTTCCAAAACAGAAGACTGTACACCCAATAATAACTTCCGCTAAATTCACATCATCATAAAATATCTCCTCTTCTGCTTACAAACAAAAATGTGGAGGATCTGCGCTTTCCACAGAATTTCTTCATTTGATTTAATTAATTATGGGTAAGAAATAAATAGTGTAAAACGCCAACAGGCTCCTCACCAACAGCGACTTAGAGTTCAAGACACAAATACTACGATTAGAGTATCTTGTAAGTGACGTTCACAGCGCTGTCATGCAAAATTATATGCCAATTCTTTGTTACATTCAACATGAAATAGAGCACGCTGTAATGTGATAAGAGGTGACAATATACATATGCAGTAGACACATCAAATCATGCACCCTGCACACTTTGCTCTCTTTCTGGACAAACTTTATGCAAATTAGCTGAGTACTGACCAATCAGATACATGATATGTGGTGCTGTAACTGATTGTGTTAAGCCCATAGTCAAGCTACATGCTGATGGTTCAACCCTCGAAAGCACATAAAGTTTATACTAGGGCTGTTCACAGGCACTCGAGTACTCGGTTAACCATTCCAGATACCAGTATTCAAATACAGCAATCACTATTTGGTTATTCACTACGCTTCATAATGGGCAAATGGAGAAAATATACAAGCTACCAATTCAGGGAAACACTGATATATATTTTATATTGATATATTTTGACAGGACTGTAATATATAGTTTATTACTTTTTGTTATATATACTTTGCCACTATGAAACCTGAAAATACAACTTTCTCTGGTGCTGCTTTTTACACTAACTATGCTACCTAA